AGGGAAAGAAAAGCAGTATATTTCTATGGTAGAAAGAAACAGGCGTTTTAGAAATGAATTGGAATTTTAAGCAGTAGTCTGCAGTCCCTAGACAGGCAAAGCTCTTATTGACTTTGATAGGAGTTTTGCCTGTCTAAGGACAATGCAAGTGAATCCTATTGATGTTCTTAATCTGTTTTTCCTGCCTTCAGGGACTTTAGGAAATGAATCCTTAACATTTGAGAAAGACATTTTCTGTGATATTTTTAGTGGCACAGTGTAGATGCACAGTAATCAAGGAAGCCTACAAAGGTCTAAATAGCATTTAATTTTACTTTTAAAGCATGGTATAATGTACTCTTCCAAATCTGTCCTGTTGATTTAACCAACTAGATCTGAAATTTGATAAACTGAACTCGAATTATTTTGTTATGACAATTTTCATTCACATTCATGGTACAGGATCTAGGAGAGGCACATAGATTAGTATGAGGGAGAGGTCTAACATTCTGCTTTCTCTGCCTGAAAGTCTGGTTAATGGTTGGAGCATCCTCGCAGGTAGGATCACAACATAAATGCTATCACACCGAAATGCAGAGCACGCTGGATCTAGAATTAGTGTGCTGTGTATGGTAGCCAGTACTTCACTCTGGGGTTTGAACTTTACTGGCTGCTGTGTGCTGTGGTCAAGCAGTAGGGAGAGAAGGGACAAGCAGGCAACCCCAGTGTTCATTCTGTACCCTGTATATGCAGGTGATCACAGATTTAGAGGTGGTACTGGAAAAAAGTGTAGGTCCCAGTGTCTAAATCTCAGTCTGTTCCCACAGGTTTTGTCTAACTGGAACTCCTTCTCAAATCTTTTCATAGGAGCAATGACCATGGCTTTGCTGGAAAACCTTGTAGCAGGAAATGTCTACTTGGTCAAAATAGCAGCCTCCAATGAAGTGGGAGAAGGACCTTTCTCAAATGCAGTAGAACTTGCTGTCCTGCCAAAGGAGACATCAGAGTCTAATCAAAGACCTAAACGCCTGGACTCAGGAGATTCCATAAGTCAGTACCAATGTTTTGACCACTGCTGTCACAAGTACTAGGATAAAAGATCCCTGTTTGTTTTAGCTTGTAACCGCTGTTGGGGTAAACCATTCTGTGTTGTGTGAGGCTGTGCTAACACCATAGCATTTTAATGCCAATGAAACCATTTTGGAATTTTTATCTCAGTTCAACTCACAACTGGTTTAATTATTTTGCTCAGAAGTTGTAAGTTTGCCTTTCGAATGACAACACATAATTGTTTTGAATTCTATGTCGATTATCAACTTTGCAGCCACGCTTCTAAGGCACTTATTCTAAATCCTTTATTTAATATTAAATTTTTTAAATAAAATTT